TGTGATATCCATTATAGGATGCTGTCTACTGTGGAACAGACCATGACATTTCTTGTTTGATTTTTCAAATAAAAACATGGTGAAGTTGCCAGTGATTTCTGTGCTGAAGCTGCCAGAAGGTGTACTGTGCTTCTTTGCAGTTCTAAGAATACTGGATGATAGAGAAACACCTCCTGCTGCTCCTCTGTTGGGGGTTTTCTGATAACTAAAGATTATTCCTTTAAGCACAAATACTTAAAATAGTCATTTTTTTAAAATCAGAAAATGTTCTATCCACTTTGGGCAGAAATTTTACAGTGTATCAGACTGACATGATATGAACATTGTAATAAAAGAGTATCTGACATTGTGTTTATCATGTTCCTTCTATGGCTTCATAGATGTGTGTGTGTGATGTATGTATATTATGTGGGGTACATGTATAGGCTAGATGTCAAAGTTGGTGTCTTCTTCTGTTTCTCTCCAGGTTACCAAAACCATTTTGAAGCAGTCTAGATCCCTTATATGAACAGCTGAATTTTAGGAAGTTTTCTTTCTTTCTTTCTTTCTTTCTTTCTTTCTTTCTTTCTTTCTTTCTTTCTTTCTTTCTTTCTTTTTCTTTCTTTCCTTCCTTCTTTTTCTCTTTTTCTTTCTTTCTCTCTTTCTTTCTTTCTCTTTCTCTTTCTCTCTTTCTCTCTCTTTCTTTCTTTCTTTCTTTCTTTCTTTCTTTCTTTCTTTCTTTCTTTCTTTCTTTCTTTCTCTCTATCTTTCCCCCACCCCTCTTTCTTTCTTTTGGAGATAAAAATCTCTCACTGAACCTGCAGCTTGCTGTTGTGGACAAACTGGCTGGTCAACAAGCCCCTCACCCACCCAGCATCACATGGGGTGATAGGCAGTTGCTGACAATGCTTAGCTACAGGGGTGCTGGGGACCCAAACTTTGGTCCTCATGTTTGTGTAGCTAACATTTTACCCACTGCACCATCCCACTAACCCTGTATGCTAGAACCTTTTTTCATAAAGTTACTTGGCATCACTGTATGATAGGGACTAACAGTACAGAGGACTTTAGAATATATATATATATATATATATATATATATATATATATATATATATATAGAGAGAGAGAGAGAGAGAGAGAGAGAGAGAGAGGGAGAGAGAGAGTCTGGATGTTTCATTTTCAATGTATATCTGTGCACCATATGTGTGCCTGGTGCCTGCAGAGGCTAGAAGAGGGCATCAGATCCCCTGGAACTGGAGTTGCAGATGATTTTGAGGTGCCATGTGGTTGCTGGAAATTGAACATGGGTCCTCTGTTAGAGCAGTCAGTGCTCTTAATGGCCGAGCCATCTCTCCAGCCTGGCTGCAGAAGATTTTAAAATTATTTTTTTAAAGTTTAGCATTCATTGTGGTGGGTTTCATTACAGAGAACTATTTTAAGGGTCGAATGAAAGAATGCATCTACAGCTCTCAATATATCATTGCGTCTAAACCTTAGTCCTACTGCTTACTGTTACCTTGTGACTAAGTGCTCTTTGTACTGTTATGCACAAAACTGAGCCACGTTGAGTCACTCACAGAGCCCTCAGGGAAGACACATAGAATCACCCTACAAGGCATGAGACTGAAAGCTGAGCTGGAAAGCACGGAGCAGCCACGTATGTGGCCAGTCCAGTCTCCAAGCTTCTAGGTAGCTGAAAAACAGATCTGTATTCACAGAGGTCATGAGGGGGGGGAGCGGTCTCAGGCACCAAGTCCTTCAAACAGTGTGGCATAGGGCATACCTGGTGGATCTGAGTTAACTTTGTAAAGCTCTAAATGTATGAAAAGCAAGAAGAGGGCTTGACTCTTTCCCAGAGCACACTATCATTTATCTGAAGAACAGCTGCTAGTTCGAATCAGTCAGTTTGGAAGACTGTAACACTGAATCAGACAGTGGTGACTGAGTATTGGGTTCAGAGGTGTGGGGACCACATTACAGGTTTGTGATCACTTGGCCTTTCCAGATGCCCTCTATCTGCTGTTGACAATGTATGTGTGTAGGTCAGAGGATAGGGTGTCTTTCAGCAATTATTTCTTCTCCCTTGTTGAGGCAGGGTTGGTCTCATTTCTGCTGTTGTGGTGTGTCCTCTAGGCTAACTGATCTGAGAGCTTCCCAGTGGATTCCTCTTCTTTGCTTCTCATCTCACTGTACTGGGATTACAGATGTGCACCTGTAAAAAGGCATCTGGCTTTTTCTTTACATTCAAATGTATTTTATCTGTACATGTGGTTTGCTTGCATGTGTGTTTGTGCACCACTTGTATGCCTGATGCTCATGGACTACAGAAGAAAATGTCAGATCCCCTGGAACTGTAGTTATGGCTGCTTGTGAACCACCATGTGGGTATTAGGAATTGAATCCAGGTCCTCTGCAAGAGCAGCCACTGGGTTCTGGACATCCAATTCAGGTCGTCAGGCTTGCCCAACAAGCATTTTTACCCACTGATCAATCTCCCCAATGCTCATCTTTTTTTTTTTTACATTGACTTTTTAGTGTCATCTGAGAAACACTTGCACAATCAAAGATCATGAATAGTTGTGTTTTTCCATAAGAATGTTACCACAAATGGAGGTTCTTTTCTTCTACTATGTGGGTTTAGGGACTTTACCCATGAGGCCATTTCACTGGCCCCAAGTTAATTCTTTTGGATGTGGAGATGTAGTTTTCTAATTACCAAGTTCTTGAAAAGACTACTTTTCTTTCCCTTACCTGATTAACATAGCTTTGTAGTAGCTTTTAAAGTGAGAAAATGTGAGTCCTCCGACTTGTTTTAGTTTCAAAACCAATTTGGAATACTCGAATGTATGGATGATTTGAACCCAGGTCCTCATTCTTGTATGGCATTTTACACACTGAGGCACCATCCCCAGCCCAGTTTCATTTGTGCATTTTATGCTTCTGTTGAGATGATCATTAATTTAGGCTCTTTATAATAATGATGTATTACATTGATTGATATTCATATGTTGCATCAATCTTTCATTCCTGTGATAAATCCCAGTGACTTATGTTGTTTATGTATAGAGAATTTTTTGTGCATTTGTGATTATTCTTGAACACTTTTTCATCATAGAAATGAATTACTGTGTCAGATTTTGATAGATAATGTCAAATTCTCCTACAAAAATGCTCTACTAACTTACATTTCCAACAAAATCATAGAAACTGTTTTCTTTCTCATGTCTCTGTCAACATTGCACATTATTTATCTTTAAAGTTTGCCAAAGTGATGGATGAAATAGTATTTTTTGCTATAATTTGTATTTCATGATTCCAAATGAATTTGGACATACTGTCACTCCTTTATAGTCCATTTGTATTTCTTCTTTGTAAACCAAATCCATCTTTTTTATTTTCTCAAAGAATGGAGGAGGTAGGGAGGATATTCAGTCAAGTCAAAGCTATAGAGAACATATGAAAATGATCCTTATTTTGAGGTAAAGTCACTAATGAGACTAGGAAGTCACCCAGCAACATGCACAGAGTCTGATCACTTGAGATTGTCCTGAGTGCTACTTCTCTGGCTACACTGTTCGACAATAGCCATGTGAATTCTGGTCTGTGGAAGCTCTAGCCTGGGGGGCTTTCCCTTTACCCCAGTAGAAACATTTCCTCTATCATCTTCTACTGTGGAGCCCTGTCCAGGACACCCTCCCATCTCCATTTTGCAGACTAGACATGTCTTCTGATTCTGTACCCAGTTTACTTTGTAAATGAAGTTTTGTTCATGAAGGGGTTATTGGATGAATATGTAATTCAAATAGTCTCTCCCTCCTTCCTTCCATCTTTCCAGTATCAGCTGGTAGCAGTATGGTTTTTCTCTGCCCCTCCCCCTTATTCTCTCCCGACTTCCTGAGTCACTCCATCTGTCACCATAACAGCACGGGTGTTCTCCCTCAAGTGAGGCCTGTGGGATGGACCGTTTGCCATTTCCCAAGGACTGTTCGAAGGGAAGCAGTCCTAGAAGTAAGGCAGCTTTACCAATGCTCATGAGTTCTTGTTAAATCTGCCACCTTCCTACTCTAGCTCTAAGAAAGTAGAAATAGGCCGGACCACTAACTCATGGCACCATAGACTTCTTCACGCCTTGGCAGGGGTACTTGCCTGAAGTCCGAGTCTCTCTCTCTAGGCCTTGCACGCTGGCCTCGAACTCAGAGATCCGCCTGCCTCTGTCTCCTGAGAGTGCTGGGATTAAAGGCGTGTGCCACCATTGCCCAGCTAAGAAGCCTGCACAGAAGTTGGAGATTGTCTCATGGTTTGGCCCTTTTCCATCTCTTCCCACTGGGCAGAGCTTCCACTCAATTTGACTAGTGGGAAGACGAAAAGGGGCCTGGGCACCTTTTTTTCTTTACTAGTTGAGCCACTGTGACACCCCTAATAGAATTCCAGAAGATTCAATGTTATCCATTACTCTAGCTGTCCTAATCTTTTACTGATTTTGCTGCATTTCTATAAAAATGGAGCTTCAAGATGTACACTACAGCACACATCTCAATTATTCCATAGGCCAAGGTAGGAGGATGTGAGTTCCAGGCCAATCTGGGTTACATATGAGATCATATAGCTAAACTTAAAAGGAGCTTGGGGTGCAGTTCAGTGGTAGAACACTTGCCTAGCATGAGTTTCTTGGAAAAGGCTGATTTGGGGTCTGTTCAGGGAGGAGATAGGTGTGAAGGGCCACTAAGCACTTCTCTGCTTGGGGGAAGAGGGTGGGAGGATGTCTCAGTGGGTCACCATGCAAATTGCAGGTCCCAAGTTGCATCCCTGGATGGGGAAGGAAAGCAGTCCACTAGCTAGTAATGGCTAGTCCTGGACTCCAGCATTCCCAACCAGGGAGTTTTGGAAATGGCCTTAGGCACTGATAGCCCTGATCTTGGAAACTGGGTGGCAGCAGCATGCGCAGTGTAGCTGCAGCCCTTACACCGCGGCTTTTGCTCTTTCCCTGACTACTGGGGTGCTGAGACTGCTGCCACCACTGCCACCACCACTGCCGCTGCTGTTGCTGCTGCTGCTGCTGCTCTGCCCTGTGCCGCTGTCACTTCCAGTTCCTACTTCTGCGATCCAGGTCCGGGTCATCGCTTCCCCGCTGCTGGCCGGGTCTCTCCAGGCTTCTCTCCCTCCCGGGTTCTGGCTCCAGGCAGCAGAACTGGGTCTGGAGGAACCCTGCGGCCAGGCTCCCACTGGCCACCCCGCTTCCCTCCTGTGGCCGCCCCACAGGGGCACGCCTCCCGCAGCCTGGGATCGGAGCTCTAGAGAGAGAACTTGAAGGCAAGAATCTGACTTCCCTCTTCATTAAATAAATAAATAAATACATAAAATCCTTTGCCTGGGAAGCTTGGAAGCTCAGCAAGGAGTTTGGAGACGGGCGCCCCCTCCTCGCGCGTCCAGGAGCAAAGTTGCAGCCGCCCCTCCCTGCCGGCCATACCAGCAGGCTCTCCAGTTTCGTCCTGGTGGCAGCCGCGCGGGGCAGGGTCCCAGCTCCATCTGGGGACAGTGCTTCCCGCAGCCTTGGCACAGGCTGGCGGCGCTCGGCGGCCCCGTGACTCGGAAGGGCGAGCCACTTCCAAGGAGGAGGCTAGAGGGATCTAGCAGCAGGAGGACAAGCGAGCCAAGCCAGGTGACCTGCCTGGGGGGCAAGGGGTCAGGGGGAGGGGAATGTTGAGGGCCTGGTGCTGGGGGGCTGGGGGAGGCAGGGGAGGAGCCGCCCTTCCTTCAGGATTGACCGCCTAGGTCTGCAGCCCCAGCCGCCAGTCTGTTCTCTGCCAGGGCCTCTCCTTGGTGCACTGAGTCCCTGGGTACCCAGAGCGGGGGCGGGGGCCAGGGCACAGGGTGAGGACGCGCCAAACTTAGGGGCATGTTGTCCAGCTTCGGCCAAGGTTTGTAGCAGGACTGGATTCTGTCTTCTGTCCTCCCTGGAACCAGAGCAAAGAGTCAACGGTACTGTTTTTGATATTAATTTGATGCTTTCCCAAGCTGGAGCAATCCATGCATTGGGGAATGTTTGACACAGGTCTGTCGCAGGAGTGGTTTTCGGATGGACTCTACCTGGTATTCCAAAGTAGCTGTAGTTGATTTAGAGTTTTCATTTTCCAGTCATTGAAGGACCCAACAGGTATTCCAGCCATTTCATTTCTTAGTTCTAGAGTAGAGAGCTCTCATGTTTATCTCTGTCTCAAATATCTTTCTTCTCAATACCTTATATTTTTAGTTTGGTTTTGTTATTGTTTTTGAATGTAGGAGTGACTCACATGGTTTTTTCCCTCTTTTCTTAATGTGTAGTGGGAGTAAAAATATACTCAAAGAATATATTTTGCTATGAAACTATATTTTTCAATAAGACCTCCCCATAAACCAAAATAGCCACACAGAACGGGGTTAAATCTCAGTTGTTCTTTAAGTTTTTAAGGTATTGATTTTAAAGGCAAGATTTTGAGTCTAGACTGCTTTCCTTACTTATATATTTGCCTGGAAAAATCCAGTTTGTCCTTGAACTTGCTATCTTAATTTTGACATTGACCACGGTAAGAGGATCTCTGATGACATCATTTGCTCCAGCCACAGTTCAGTGTTCCACCACTGAGAGCACCTCTGTCCAAAAATGTAAGGCCTGGGCCTGCCCTTGGACTTCAGCAAAATATGATGCTCCACGCCAGGCAATGCTGCAGTCCTTTCTTACATAAGCAAACTCCAGGCCCATGTGGCACAGGGTATGCTTGGAGCTCTTAAAACAAGAGAGGGGCTCTTTCCATGGGAGTTGCTGAAGGATGAGTGAAGTTTTGAATACAAGAAATGGCCAGCTAATAATCTCACCTTGCATTTCTTTGGTGCTTAATTTTCTTTTCTTTCTTTCTTTCTTTTTTTTTTTTTTTTGGTTTTCTTTTTTGGAATGCTTTCCACTTATTCAAACTCCAACTCCTTATAAAGGGCATTTGAGAACAGGCATTTCTTTCTTCCGATTATCAAAGAAACAGAAAAGTTTGGCTAAGCAAAGTCATAGTGCTTCCAGTAGTAGAGTCAAAAGGGTAACTCTGCTCCTGCTTCCCGCCCAGATTTTGTTGTTTGTTTTCACTAAAAGGTGAGGCTTTGTAGCAAAGTCTTTCATTTGAAACATTGTATGAGTGGTCCATGTCCTCCGAACCAATTGTTGTTCATTTGCTAACTCGCACTTTGGCCTCTTTTGCTTGCATAGAGTCTGCTCTGTAGTTAAGGTGAGTGCAGGGTCTGGAGTTTGTAATTACCTCTCTGATCTACCACTTTTCTAGTCATACTCAGGGATAGCAAGGGATGGCTAGAGGGAGCAGCCAGGACCTAGAAATTTCCAATCCTCATTTGACAGCATGCATAGAGGATTATTTCAGTCTCTAGAAACTTCTTCATGAGGCAACAGAAAGGGCATGTGTTTGCTCCGCTTACAGCAATGTGTCTGTTCATCACTGTTGTCAGGAGCTTAGGTACAAAGGAGGAACAGTAGCTGAACACCATTTCTCCCACGCCTGTTATGTTCTAGACTTTGGGCTGCCTGCTCTAAGCATACGATCTAATTTAATCCTCACAATAGCCCCGAGAGGCCGGTGACATTGTACCCGCTACAACAGTGGTGGACACTGAGGTTTGGGGAAGATGCATACTTGTGCCTCATCCTGGCAGTGCAAAGCAAACACAGGAGAGTCAGCTAGACCTCATCTCCTCTGTCACAAGCCACACTGTGGCCGTCAAGGAGCCACTGTTAACATACAGAAACACGGAGAACCTTGGTTTTCAGACATGACCGTGCATCAGAAGCATCTGGGGAACTTTTAAAACCACAAGTATTAGAGTCTCATTGCCCAGAGATTCTGACTTGATTGTTCTACAATGAGGCCTTTGCATTGGTATTTTTAAATGTTTAAGTCAGTTTAGTAACATGAATTTTTTAAAAAATTGAAAATATTCTAACTGTTTGTGCTGATGAATCCCCATAAACTGATTCACCCATATAATTTTCACTTGGCTTAAGGAGCAGAACATTGTCACTAGCATCAAGTACTCTTGTATGCCTTCCCAGTCATGATTGCTCACCATCTGACTCCTACGAGAATAGGTTGGTGTAGTTTTTTCCTGTTTTGGTATATGAGTGGGATGGTAAAATGTGTAGTTGTTTTCATAAAATTTTCTTCCACTAAGCATTATATTTGAACTAGCCTGTTGTAGGTACTACTGTTTAATTATTTTTTTATTGCTGAGTAGTATTCCATTGTATGGATACACCAAACTTTATTTTTCCTATTTACTCACTGATGGACATTTAGAGTGTTTCCAGTTGGTCTGTGTGTGTGTGTGTGTGTGTGTGTGTGTTGTCATTGTTGTTCTTTCGATGAACAATGTCTCCGTGAATATCCTTGTGGGTATCCCCTGAAGAACATTTCTGTTGAATGTATGTATAGTTATAGAGTTGCCTGATCATACAGTATGTATATATTCTGCTTTAGGAAGTACCACCAGAAAGATTACTGAAGGGACTGAGCATTTAGAAGATGTGTTTTGAGAACTAGGCAAACAGTTCTGGTGTGCATCAAAGGATGAGAAGCATTTTTCTAGTTTATTCACATTGCAGCTATCTGGCCACTTCAAGCATTTGCCACATGGCTGAGACCATAAAGAAAAAAATACTAAACTGAGTGTAGTGGCACAAGTCTGTAATTCCAGCACTTGGGAGGCTGGAGCACAAGGATTGTTGAGTTGGAGGGAAGCCTCGGCTACATAGTGAGTTTTGGGCAAGCCTGAGCTACAGAGAGGGAGAGGCCGAGACAGAGAGAGGGAACTGCTGGGTTAGGTAATTTATCCTTATTTTCTCAAAATCCGTTATACATTATTTTACAATTGTTATTTGTTTATTACTGTTGTGATTATTAGTGTGTGTACGCACAACTGCCATTGCACATATGGAAGTTAGAGGACAATTGTCAGGACTCACTGTGCTTATGTTTGAATGTATCTGTTGGCTTGTCTGGAAATTTATTAGGCAGAGACCAAAGATTCTTAATCCTCATAACCCCAGTCCTCAAGATGGAGCAAGGTTCCTAGCAGGCCCTAGTCCTTGGGATGGAGCAAGGTTCCTAGCAGACCCCAGTCCTTGGGATGGAGCAAGGTTCCTAGCAGATCCCAGTCCTTGGGATGGAGCAAGGTTCCTAGCAGGCCCTAGTCCTTGGGATGGAGCAAGGCTCCTAGCAGGTGCTCATTAATATTCACTAAATAAATGACTGTCCCGTGGAATGGCTGAATAGTCAGGGGAGTTTTTAGTTAGAAAGGAAGCAGTCCATTTTTGCACTGAGACTTACATGCTTTGTTCCTATGAGATTGCCTCAGTCTCCCACTCAGGGACAAGTTACTTTTACTTAGCTGAGCATGTGAGCATTAAGGGTAACCTGGCTGCTCACCCCAAACTGATTAGAAGTGGTAGATGAGGTGAGATGAGGGAAGGTGTGTGGAAGGACTTGGCAAACTGGGACACAGGGCCTGGACAAAAATCTGGGATAAAGGAGGCCTAATGCAGATTAGACATGATAGAGATGCCAAAAAAGTGTGTGTGTGTGTGTGTGTGTGTGTGTGTGTGTGTGTGTGTGTGTGTGTACAAATCATGGAAGAATGAAATCAATGGTACACCGCCAAAAGGGAGAAAAACTATATAAATCAGACCCCCAAACACAGAACCATCCGAGGTCCTTTGAGTGGGAGGCTAGGTAAACTTTATGTGGGACTTGGTGACTAGAATTTTCTTCTTGCCCTGACTTGCTCTGCATTTGTTTCCTGCTTCAGACATTCTCATTCATCTCCCTGTCCCCTGCGTGAGCGTGTGTGTGTGTGTGTGTGTGTGTGTGTGTGTGTGTGTGTGTGTGTTATAGTAGCACAGTGGTTAAGAGCTTCAGCTTAGCTTTGCACTTGGTCTGCTGGGTTGGCTACTTATTATGGATATGCCAGTCTTGCAGGTGGTAGTGGTACATAGGACCACTGATGAGGTATATGTTACCCTTAGTGTTAGTGACAGATGGCAAGAAAAGCAGTTTGCATAGTGACTCGTACCAAGTATAGACTCAATGAATGCTAGCTCCTTTCCTCTTTCCCTTTCTTTCTCTTCTCTTCTCCTCTCCTCTCCCCCTCCCAACTCCTCCCCTCCTCTCTTCTCCTCCTCTCTCCTCTCCTTTCTCTTCTTTTCTTTCTTTCAAGTTAGTCTTATGTATCCCAGATTGCCCTCAAAGTCTCTACATAGCAGAGGATGACCTTGAACTTCCAATCCTTGTGCTGTTATTTCCTGAGTGTTGGGATTATGGGTGCATGCCACCAGGCCTGTTTTATGTGATGCTGAGAGTTGAGCTTTGTTCATCCAAGGAAAGCACTCTACAAAATGAGCTTTACTCCCAGCCCTGAAAGCTCATTTCTAATTGGAATTTTGATGTCTTCTAGTAGACTTATTCATAAGTTGTTCTGCATTATGAAAACTGCAGCTCTCTTGGTTATGTTGAAATAATCCCATTTGATAAATGAGCTAGAAGATCTCTTGAAATTGTAGCATTTAAACAGATTAAATGTAGAGCAAGGATTACCTGTGGGCTCTCCCAGGGTTCTGTGCTTTTATATTAG